GAACAGGCACATATGTAGGTACCCACTGTAAGTATCACTTTTACAGGATATGTCATGGTCGACCCTCCTCTTGATACGTTTAAATCGTACGAGTAGCCTAGTAGTATAAAATGCGTTGTTTCTTTGGGCAGTTTTTTGGCGCGCCCATTTATATCGGTTTAAGCGATACAAAAATAGAGTTAAAGCCAAGAGGAAAAAATTAGAAATGCGAAATTAAATAGATATAGGATAGATACGACCATAGGGAATACGCGCCCAAATCGTATATGCAAACATTCAAAGATACGTATACAAAATAAATAGAAACCGTGTTGGATACACACTAAAATAGAACAAGAACGATATATTTAGCAGAATTGCGAAAAAAAGAGAAACTAAAGGAAAACTCACACAGTGCGTATGTTTTATACACATCAAAACACAGATACAGATACACGGATCAGATACATGAGCGGATATGGTATAGACAATTCCATTAGCATTGCCACATGCATATGTAATTTCCCGAACGGATTAGCCAGCCAGCAAGGTGCAGTCCAGAACCTGACCATATGTGTGCGTAATTGCCCAGCTGGCTATCCGAGAGATACACATCCTCGACGCTCGCCCAGTAGCCCAGTAGCAAAGCCATAGACAAAGGGAGAGGCACAAGAGGACACAAGAACAAGCAGCTCTACTGTCCGTGACCGAACTCGAATTCGAATTCTCAGTGTCATGTAAATGGCAAACAAATATGTCTTTGAACTTCGTATATTGGGTTTGCCACAAGACACAATTTGTGTGTTATGTATAATCATTATCCTCATTGGACGCCGTCCTGCGCCGGGACGCTAAATCTGCTGCGACAGTCGGATGAACTACAGGGGTTGTAAATGGCCAATCAATCAAGCCGAAACACAGAGAAAACCGTAAAATACACCAAGCAACGAAATTTACGAGCAAAATTGATTGACAGCCATAAACGCTATAAGGGAAGGGCTGCAAAACATATGAAAAATATTTGGGCAACATACGCTAGGCCTGAGCATTCCCCAGATTAATTTAATTGATTCAGCGGCTGTTGTGCATATTTGTTAATGTACGAAATTTCCATCCTGAAATTCTTCCCAACAATAGTTTAATATTAAACAGAATAGGTAGAGAATTTCATGCTGATCGGGAATATGTATATCTAATTTATGGAGATGTTTCCTGCTGATCAGTTGTATACCCAATACCCTTCAAATGCAAGTTCGAACATAAATCTAATGAATATGAATTATGTATTAAAATGCGATACTCCAGCACCATGGTTCCATTTATACTATGTTTCCAGTTTTTAGTTCCTTCTTTCTACTTAATTGGATTCTGAGTGATTATCAACCACAACACAGATCGAGCTAATTCACAGCAAAGTCTGTACCACTTTGAATTCAACTGAATGAAATCTAAAACGGACTAATCGACATCGATCGCAGTATCAATATCCTGGGATAGTTAGTTGGGAGAATGGGAAGAAAGCGGCCGACTTCCGGTTCGGTAGCCGAAAGTAACTGAGTACGAGAACCGTCCATGAGCTAACCAGGTCAGTGAACATGGAATAGAGTCGGGCGCAATGCAACGTCGTATCCTATTACCAATACCGAGACGTAGACAGAGACGGAGAGCTCTGAGAGATCACAGTCCAAAACTTGGGCTACCTGATCCGCTATTGTTAATTGTCTCCGTGCGAGGGTGTTTGGGTATAAGGGGCTATGAGATCTGAGATCTGTGATCGGAGATTGGAGCTCTATGATCGGTGTTTGGTGATTTCTGATCATTGTTGCTGCTCTGCTCGGCTTCTCCGCTGGCTTGGTGCCGCTGCTGCTGCCATTACACGACTCTCGGTCCGGTCCGATCCGGTCCGAGTTGCGCTTGGCAACAACAGAAATTAAAGCAAAACGAAATCTTTGAGATACGCAGTACGAAAATATCGCGTCACGTCGAGCGGAATAGGTTGCCTGGGATTTATGGCTAGTTGAAGTTTGTATGCCCTTGAACGCAGATTTTTTTGTATCTGTTGTTATGTTTTCTGTTTGCTGTGTGTTTGAGGAGTTTTGTGGAAAAGGTATACTGGATGAGGCTGAAGTATATACAAACATATGTGTACATACATATGTACATGAATACGCCAGAAACCATTCGTACCTGGGCCTGTAACAACCTGAACCATGGGATGATTTCGTTTGCGGCTGACAACACTAATCCAATCATTGTTAGGTGGGTGAGTATGAGGGTATTTTGATTCGCTCTTGGTATCCCAATACCATAATCATAAGCATTCATATGCTGTTTAGTATCCATTCCAAAAATAGTTCCAATTTTGCATTCACAATAAAAATCATAATCGGCCCCCCCATTCGGCTCCCATCCTGGCTTAATATGATTATTCAATTCGACATTCACTCAAGTCCGATTCCCAAGAAATCAGATTATCGGGTTCAGAAAGAACCTTTCAAATCAAATCGAATTCAATCGAATTCCGAGGTGGATCGTACCACACAAAGGTGAAGCTTCTTTGTTCTAGTTTTGGTTTTATTGTCTTCTTTTTTGTGTGTCCCCTGTTTCTTTTTCTTTTGTATTTTATTTGTATTGTTTTATTTCTGTTTTACTGTGGTGCGCCCTGAATAAGTTTCTCCACGCGGGCAAGGGTATCCGACGAAACGTAACAGAAATAAAAGTTACATTTGCATACGAGCAAAATAAACGAAACGAAATGGGGGAAAGGGACGCCAAAGTAGCAACAGCAATAGTAAAAAAAAATACCAAATACCCCCCACTCCACCCATACGTTTCTAGCTTGTTGCGGCAAAAGCTTCCGCATTTGATAAGCAGCGACCAAAGTTTTGGTTTTTGGCTTGGCAACACTCCTCTGCCTGCCGCCTCTCTACATTTCGTGGAGTCACATATACATATATACATACCTAGTACCCGTAGTACTCCCCCCAACCACCCCACTCACCACTTTTACCATCAGCACGCTTCCCTCACCGCTGGCTTGCTCGTTTTGCATAATTTGGAAATTTAGTATTTGCTTTTCTAATTTGATTTCGGGGCTGGCTTTACGCATAAAAATACAACCAGAAAAGAGCAAGACGGAAAAAGTTTCGGCAAGGTCAGTGATAGCGTTACTTATACAGCGGACAGTGGGGACACCCTACGGGTGTCCATGATGTGATATAACTTGTTGATTGATTCCTGATCATTTTTCTGATTGCAGATTGCCGTGACGAATTTCAAGTGTCATAATCAGTGATCAACGATCACTTTAAAAAGCATTACCTATGGTATAATAGAGTACACTGCACTACAGATAGCAGATAGGAGATTTTCGGACTAAGAAAGTATTCCCCATCCCAGTTATTGTAATTTTTCTTCTTGCTGTTTGCTTCACTTATAGCCGTTGACCACTGTAACTGGCGCTGATCGTCGAAATCTGATGAGTGCCAAGAAATCGGCATTTTTTTATTAACTTTCCTGTATGCCTGGGCGATTTCTTGCGTACGGTACATAAATATGTACATATACTCGCATATACATAAAGAAATGAAATTGAGATAGTTTATTCTTTAGTTTTTTGTCTGGTTCTTTCTAGATTTTTTAATACATATGTTAGTATGTATGTATATGTATATTTAATTTCTTTTTCATGGTCGCATGTTGCGCACGCTCCACCATTGGCAAGCATGAGTGGGGGATGGTGGTGGTGGTTGGGGGCTGGGTGCTGGGGGGGAAGAGTCGTTTCGTATCGTGTACCCGTAGCTTACCATGAAATCATGGTCAGTACTGATAACCAAGAACACAAAGCGGCAAAGGCACCTCAGCCAATTGAGTGGCTGTCGGGAAATAGTGGAAAGAATTGGCGAGTTGGCAGGGGCAGCGGCAGCTACTTAGGCCGAAAAATACTTACATATGTGATTGTATATGAATCACTTGTACGCTTAGAGAGACTTGCACGGGGATGACAACAATTACGCCGCATGACAGTGACAAAATGTCGCAGTCCAATACAAAGACTGCAGGAACTGCTGACTGCTGACCCGACATGGATATATGTACCAAGCGAGTAAATACCGATACCCCGATTGATGTGCCCAATACACACAATCATATAAATCAATAATTGTAGTAAAACTGACAAAGCCATGTAACTTTAAAGACAATAAACCTAAGAAACACACTGAGCCACAATAAAATATAAACAAACGAATGGGAAAGAAGAGCTAGCACAATCCGAATATGGGTATACTCTTGAGGTATTTATATTTGATAAAGTGTATAGATTTTGTATAAAATTAAAACTAATACATATGTACATACGTACATATTTGCTGTCCTTGGGGAAGGCAGGAGGAGCCCTAAGAGTTTTCTAATATTATCTGGTATTTTTTTATATTTTCTAGAATTTTAGAATATATTTTAAATGTTTTCAGATATTTTTCTAGTAATATTTCTGTTTTTTTTCTGGTTGCCCAAAACTTTTATAAAACAATTATAGAAATTTTTAAATGGGTTCTTCTTTCAAACAGTTGAGTGTTGCCTCCTGCCTTCTGCCTCGTCCTGTGGCAATAAGAAACGATTATTGAAAGCGTCTTTCTTTCGTAGCAGCACCACCGATTCATAAATAGGTCGCAAAATCAGCAACAACACAAACACACACACACACACACACACACACATTGCAATAGTAAAGCCACTCTCATAATTGCTCTCTTTACTCTTCGCCCACGCATGCGGTCAATGCTCTCGCGCTGCCTGCAGTGGGAGCAGAGAATCATAGATAAGACGTCGCGATGATCTCATCGCAGCGCCCTTTGCTTAAAAGTTGTAAGTTAAAACCAAAACCTTGTCCGAAATCTGACCGCAGCAGCACCTCCGATTCATAAATAGGTCGCAAAATCAGCAACAACAACTCAAACACACACACACACATTGCAATAGTAAAGCCACTCTCATAATTGCTCTCTTTACTTTCAGACAACGCATGAGACCATTGCACTCCGCTACCTGCATAAGGAGGAGAGAGAATCAAAGACAAGCGTCGTGATGATCTCATCGCAGCGAGCTTAGCATAAAGTTTTGTCCCAAATCTAAGCGCAGCAGCCCGTTCGTTGCGTCGCGGACCTAAAAATACTTAAAAATCGGAAATAACTCGCAATATATTACTAAAAACCCGCAGAAGTCGCGTGCAAGATGTATTGCTAATTGCAAAGTACAAAAAAAAGCCCCAAAAAGCCTGAAAATTATAAATTTTTTTATTGTGAAAAGCCTGAAAAGTGTGTGCGGAGAGCCAAAGGTCTAGCTAAAAGTTAAGTAATGATCGCAGCATTAGTGAAAATGATAAAATTCAGTGTTCTAGTAGCAGTGAAAAATGAAAAATTCCAGCGCTCATTTGGAGTGAGCATGGAAACGCAAGAAGAAATAACGGAATCATTTAAAGCTGTTGTCGTACAGGATGGTCATCGGACGGCAAGGAGTGCAAGGAGGATTGCAAAAAGTGAGTGAAAGTGAAAAGTGAAAGCGCTTGTGAAAACAAAACAGTTAAATGCACCGCAAGGACTAAATAAAGGAGCGGAATAAGAAATACAGCGCAAGTGATAGTGAAAAGTGAAAAAAAAACCTGCCTGCCAAAATTCTATTGCGTCGCCGCAGCTGTCGCGCTGCTTCCACAGTGGAAACCCAGAAAGAAAGGAATAGCGAAATCATATTATACTGTTGTCGTACAGGTGTGCAAGGAGGAAAGGATTCCAAAAGCTGTTGTCGTACAGGATGGTCATCGGACGGCAAGGAGGGAAAGGATTTAAAATGCTGTTGTCGTACAGGATGGTCATCGGACGGCAAGGAGGGAAAGAATTTTACATGCTGTTGTCGTACAGGATGGTCATCGGACGGCAAGGAGGGAAAGAAGGATCGCAAAAAGTGAAAGTGAAAAGTGAAAGCGCAAGTGAATGAAAACAGTTGAATGTACCGCAAGGACTAAAGAAAGGAGCGGAATAAGAAATTGAGCGCTAGTGAGTGAAAAAAGTGAGTGAAAAGTGAAAAATGAAAGCGCATGTGAAGAAAAACAGTTGAATGTACCGCAAGGACTAAAGAAAGGAGCGGCCTAAGACATTGAGCGCTAGTGAGTGATAAAAGTGAGTGAAATGCTGCGATCAAGTGAGTGCAAGTGCAGGAGGGAATGAATTGAGGCAATATGGGCAAAAGTGAGTGTTAGAGCGCGAGTGAAAAACGAAATAAAATATAAACAGCAACTACAGACAGCGGAAAGAGAACGGGAACTTCACTGAGAGAGGTTTAAGGACGGAGGTGCATAGCACTGCTTGTTTTTTCAATTGAGCATTAGTAAAATGCAAGGTAATTCTACACGAGACTCTGCACTATATTATATATTACTTTGCACGTTATATTAACACAATATTTTATACATTTTTATTCATACAAAATTTCTATATTTATTTCTAGGCCCTCAGAGCGGAGGATCATAGCTCTTTTTTGATTTCGTCAGAAGACAGAAAGCAAAAGACATTTCACTCTGTGCATTAGTAAAATTCAAGGTAATTCTATTCTAGACTCAACATTTCTATCCATATACATATGTAAATACTGAATAAAAAATGGTTCAAATTTGGTAATGGATTTCATATCATATGCTAAGCCGATACATATGGAACTGATCGTGGAATAAAACTTGATCTTAATCCAGGCCCTTAGGGGAATTTAAAATAAAAATCCCTTGCTTCAAACGAACCTTAACTTTTGACATGATAGTATAAATTAACTCTAGAGTCTGGACCATCACACGAGTACAAAAAAATGCTTTTAGTAAGGGTATGACACAAATCAAGCAAACAAAATCAAACGAATCATGTTGCCCAATTAGATGAGGAGCTGACAGCAATGATGAAACAATGTAGACAATCTACACATCTATATGGGTATTGATATTGTATTATATTATGTATGTACATATTTATGCATGCGTGTATTTATAGGGGAAATAAGATAAATGGATCGATGTTTAGAGATTGACCGGCCATCATCGAATTGTGTTAATTTATTGTAGATCATTTTAAGTAATTGGTTTTTCATTTAAATTGAATCTTTCATATACAATCGAATGAATATTCGTCACATTCGTCACAATACTCCATTGAGATTGCAAGTCAATTATTGATAGGCGATCTTTGAGTAATTTTGTTTATATGTCACTTTTGGGGGGCCCAATCTATGAATAGTTTTTTCTATTAAAATTTGACATTCGAAGTGAATGTAAGAGCTGAGAGCTAATACATCTCCGTCCACGATCACTACTTGTATTTCTTTGTACGTAGTGGGAAATCATTCCCTTAATGATCATGGCTAATGATCATTCTGGCGATGGCTGATAAATCGACTGGTTGGCCCATGTCCAAAAGCAAAGTTTGGTTGCTGCGTAATTAGCCAGAGCGTCATGTGCATTGGGTTAACTTGGCAACTAAATGCCGAGCGGACGGAAAATCACTTCCACTTCCAACTCCACCACAACCACCCTCCATACACGTATGAAACCATCCATACTTATGGATAGAAAACGGAAGTTGTTCAATATGCATGCGTAGGCTCGGCTCGGCCCGCTCAACGGCGCGTGTCCATTGCGTAGGTATTAAGGCATGAAATTGGCCACCGATATGACAGGCCCAACCACCTGAATCACCTGAATCACCCGAACCACCGAACAATGCACACGCACTCGCTCTAGGCGGTAGATTAAAAACTATTTAGGATCGATTGGCTGGCTGGCCACAGGTGTTTTTCCTCATTCCATCCTTTGCGAACAGTTTTTTATTGACGGGAGATGGCGATTGGGGCATGCCATGGATTTGATGGCAAGGAAGAACGAACAAGGGGCTCTACAAACATAAATAGATAAAATAGGTTATAACAAAATTGAGTTGGAAAATATCGTAAAGGAAGGCATGGGAACTTAGGTGTACGAATGTTTGAATCTTTGGATATACCTTCTTTTGGGAATAGAACGCAATATGTTTGTGGCCATTTTAAGTTGCCTTTTTGGTTGCAAATTTTTTATTGTGAATCTCAATCAGACTTCGCAATATTTCTTGTTTCACCTGCTAATGTGGTAAACAAAATGCGACGCACTTTCTACGCAAGTTCCTTCTGAACCTATAACAATACGTAATAATAATAAAAAAAAAGTGGCGAAAAAACTGTAGCCATAGCCTTGAATTTGTTTGGCGGCGATAAGTCGACGGCAAGAGCCACTGCAAAAACAACGACCACGTTGCTGTCCGGGGCCCTGATACGCAATCAATGGCGCAGCAGGTCCAAGTAAATCAGTTTGGTTTCGTGGTGGTCGGGAGAGTAGTCTGACCAGATGCTAAACCAGATCAGATAATTCACCAAATCAAATTAGGTGTGATCTATTTGGGATCAAGCCAAAGCCCCCTCCCCGACCCCTCACAAAGATGCTAGAAATTCTCAAGATAGATAAGATTACATTGAACGGCAGACAATTGGGGAAGGGTTCTTGCAAGATTAAAAAACATTATCTGATTGCAGAGACAAATTATTTCCAATACTATGACCATATGTATGTACATCGTATGTACAAATGTGTTCAATGAAATAGTAGTGCCGCACCTCATCACTTTCAAAACTCTTTTTGAGACACTTCCAGTTATCCAAATTGAACAAATGATACCTTTTTAAATAGACTGGACTGTTACCATTAAAAAACCGAAGAAATATCCATACATTTGAATTCCATTTTCTTGTTTTACATGACATAAGCCGAATACCCATGAAATTTGCTGTTCAATGAAATAGTAGTGTTTTTTTAGAACATTAAAAAAAACAACGAAAATCAAATAAAAACATATATTTCATGTTTTTCATGTTTCCTGAGCTTTAATATTTAGTTTTTAATCAATTTGGTTTTCATTTCGAACTTGCACCGGCCGTATATGGGTCATTAATCTCTTACCAACGCTTCAATAGGATTTGAGCCAATAATCCATGAACCACTTGCTAAAACTTGGCTCTGGTTCACGGATTTGCAGTTGCAATAATGTATTTGGTATTCCCCCATAAGATTTCGATGAGATTAATATCCAGTTGGACAGTTGGCCATGGAAAAACGTCGATCTTTTCCGATAAAAATCAATTCTTAGCGAGCTTTTATGGGTGTTTCAAGTCATTATCCGGTTAAAATATCCTTTTAGCAGGAATTTTCAACTGTAATTTGAATGTAATGTATTCTAAAGTATGCCTACATCCTCAGTTTCGCCCAAAACCATACTATACTCAAACGCCAGGCCAGAAAGTACTAGCTCATATGAGCTGGGCCCCATAAGGCTCAGCCTGCCCGTTTTCGGGCGGGCCTTGTGATTTGCAGCCGGCCACCGTTCCACGCGGCCAGCCGACCCCGGGCGGCGCCCACACCCCCTGGTCTTGCCTTCGACCATCGCCGACCATCCTCTAAAAAATAATTTTTTCGCATAGAAAATCGATTTTTAGTCTACTTCTTATAGTTAATTAATTAAATACAATAGTGAGAGTGCATACAACTTAGTTTTCAATCCCATTATACCTCCTGCCTTAAGTTTTCAGTCTAACTCTTAGGTCTCCTCTTCTGGACCGAGCAATGATTTCTTCAACGCCTCAAAATCAAAAGTACCGCTATGTCCAAAACTTTCTTTCATCAAATTATTCAATCACCAAATTATTTAAATTAATTTGCTTTGTTTTTTCATTTTTAAAAATAAATTTAACCCAGCACTACTATTTCATTGAACAGCAGATATCATGGGTAGTTGTCTAAAGTCATAAATAACAAGAAGATAGAATGCAAATGTAATGGGGTTTCTTCAAGTTTCTAATTCTAATTACATTCCAGGCTTTCCGTAAAGGTATCACTTGTTCAATTTGAAAGACTAGAAATATCTCAAAAAGGGTTTTGAAAGTGATGAGGTGCGGCACTACTATTTCATTGAACACAACTGTACATATGTGTGTACACTGCGAAACTTAACAAATTGATGAAGATGTTCAGTTAGTGGATATAATATGTTACGAGCATCAAATAAGTTCAATAAAATTTTCCTACGAGTAAAATCTGCAGTATAAAACTTCTAATTGGGTTCAATTTATCTTTATGTATATGATTATGGAATTCTTTCAGCCATTAAATTACTAGTCAATTAGCTCAGTGATTTATCTCTATGAAATGATTTATCAATAATGTTTACTTTGTGTTAGTCAAAGAAGTTCATACATACATACATATGTATGTTCATATGTATATGCCTAAATACAGTTATCAATATTTTGCTGATATTTAATTCGAAAGTCATAAAATTGGATGATGCATATGTACATATGTATATACATACATAAATCGAAGATGGTGTTCAGTTGTCGAATAATTAATTAGTTCATAAAATTTATAGTTGTTAAAGGAAATTGGTTATCTAATTTAGTTCAATACAGCAGGAGCTAATAAAAATTCAATTTAATTTTAGATGTTGGTGAATATTAACATTAATTAATAATTAATTAATAATATTACTATAATTTTTCGTATCCATTAAGTCAGAGTTAAACATGATCTTTCTAACAGAAACAGAGTTTCATTGGTTTCCTTCTACCAGTATATATTTTATTATTATTCCCTTCATTACTGTCCGCTTAGGTTGGCCCGCCTTCCACACTTCGCGCCTGCTGCCTTCACTCCACCTGTTGCCAAGCACTTGTTTGCATATTACCAGCACTTACAAGCCCTGCCCAGACTAGCTATTCTCGATGCAAGGCAGTCTCAGTTGCCTAGCGCCGGTTACAGCGACTTACTGACGTAACTGCCGCCTGTCCATTCATAGAAGTTTCGCAGAAGCCATCAACATGCATATATAGCCCGGGCATTTCCGATATCCGATCCGGTCGGCATTATCAACAACAGCAGCAGCAAGAGCAACAGCTTTGGGGTATTTCAAGCATTCCTCTGCTACTGAAGTGACATTTTTTTTCGCGCCCACATAAAGTTTGTTTTGTATCTCTAAGGAATTCTGAGCCGAGAAATTCGTTTGAATTTCCCAAACGTGCTAATAATAAAAGTCAGCAACAACAACAACAAGGGAGGGACTAGCTGTCCCGCGATATGAAACGTCAGCTGTCGATGGGATTATGCAAATCGCTTTCAAATGGTGGATTAGTTGAGGTAGTACAGGTTGCTGGTGTCGTGGGCTGAAGTCAGGTGAAGGGTGCTCCACGGGGAAGAACAGAGGCTGTGGAAACAACCTTGGGGGATTTTAATTTGTTATAGTCCCATCAGAAAAACGTACAGATGATGTATGATACACCGATAGAAAAAAGCCCTGAAATTTTAATATTTTCATTAAGATTTTAATATTTATGCCATTGATTTTCATCCAAGAGTGGTTGTATTAAAATTAAATATTTTTCACTTAAATTTTTATATTAATATAGAAATATTTAAATTTAATATATTTCATATTTAAATTTAATATTTTTCATATTTAAATTTAATATGTTTCATATTTAAATTTAATATGTTTCATATTCAAATTTAGTATGTTTCATATTTAATGTTAATATGCTTCATATTTAATATGTTTAATATTTAAATCTAATATGTTTCATATTTATATTTATATTCATTTTTAACTAATTGGTTATTATTTTGCGTACGCAAATTACATTTCAAGTCCTCATGGTGGGAATTGGTTAAAGTTTTCAACTAGAAATAATCGCAACATGAGTAGAACTGTATTGGTTGTGATTATGCCCCTGCGCAGAGATAATTTTATTTGTATTCAAGGCTGCAGCAGCGCGAACCAGTTGGTAATTCGAGGGACATACAAAAAGAATATAAACATAGTTAAAATAAATACAAAAAATATTTGATTTCATTTAATATGGAATATTTAAAATAAAAAGTTTTTCCTTTGGATTTTAAAAGAAAAATTTTGAAATCAAGTCATAATAATATTCAATTTAAATATGAAACATATTAAACTACAAATTTAATATATTATAGTTATTTTGAAGTGTTTTGTATTTAGATTAAATATGACCGTATTAAAAAAGCATTTTTAATACATTTATATTTGAATCAAAGTGAATTCTATTAAATTTTACTATGTTTGTATTTAAAAATGGCATTTTAAATTCAAATATGATTGTAGCTATTTTTACTATGCCTTTTTTCTATCAGTGTAGATATATGTATGTATGTATGCGCACGAGTATTTCACTTAATGATTAATACAAGTGCGAGCGTGCCAATCCAAACTTAAATATATGCAATATATGTACTCGGATTTACGAAATGAGTCATACAGGGATTTCTATAATGGCTGAAGGAATGTCAAAAGGCACAAATGTAAAAGCTTAATAAAAATGATCCATTTCACTAAAAATTTAAATCAAACAATTGATACCACAAATTTTGGTTCCCACAGAACGATTCCAATCAATTGGGTGATCCATGGTAAGTAGTATGAGTATATGAGGTATTACCAGAGCCGGCCCAAAGAAGGCGAAGATCACATTATAAGGACGCCCACAATGACAATGGGGCCATAGGATCAACTGGGATGGTCGATCGACTGTGAGATGTTTGCTGTTGGTGCTGTCATACAGCTGCTGTGGTTTGTGAAGCTTTTGTGGGGGCAAACAATTTGGCACCAGTTACATATGTATGTATATACAATGTACATACATACATACAATAAAACGTGGAACGGAAAGGCCAAAAGCCACAGACTCAAAGCCAAAAGCGGCCCAAATTTTGTGGCCATTTGAGGTATGCTCACACAGGCACAGCACATACATATGTACACGCTTAAATGCTGAGACACTCACTCAATTGCGA